AGATCCGTTTTAAATTCTTCTATAAGAAATAAAAAGAAAACGAAATCTGTATTGTTATATTGTTAAAATTGTAATTATTACTTAAGCTGCTACCAAACTGAAGTGTTTACATTAAATTGCATTGAAATGTACAAAATATAAATACATATAATAAACAGAAACTGTCGATGCGTTTAGTGTTAATTAAATTAAGCCTTCAAAGAGTATCATTGTTTCTCATACATTGAAACTACTTTTTTTCTATACAGATATATTGCTGAATTAGCTGAAAATGGTGAACTATATATACCCGTCCCTAGCTTTAACATGATCAGTGGTGGTAGACACGCTAACAATACACTACCGTGTCAAGAATTTATGATTCTACCCATAGGTGAGCATACAGAATTTACCATGAAACACAGAACAATCCTTTCTTTTCTATGTTATGAGAAGTACACAAAAATTACTATTCGCACGGTTCAAAATTTTTTTACTATCATCGCAAGTGAATGTGATATTTAGACGGATATATTCACATGCTCTACCTTGTATAATAATTGATAATTTTATCAGGAGCCGAAAGCTTCGCGGATGCTATGAAAATGGGTACAGAAGTATACAGGGTGCTTGAACAGAAAATTGCGACCGCGCAGGAGATTCAATTACCACTACCAGTCAGTGACGAAGGCGCGTTTACGCCTTTGGAATTAGAAGAGGATAAGGAAGCTCTGTTACTATTAGATGAATCCATCAAAGAAGCTGGATACGAAGGGAGAATTAAAATAGCAATGGACATGTCAGCCAGTACCTTTTACAAAGAGGGTTAAGATAAATTATTATCTACAGTAAAGAGCAAAAGTGAACCAACACATTTAGAGCTAATAGCTTTCATAAAATCGAACGGAACGATCATTTCAACTAATTAGGTGGAGTAGTTTACTACACGATGTGTGAAGAAACTTTTGATGAAATTTTCAACAAATTTTATACATATAAAGATTTAAAATGTGTTGTTCAAATTTTCGTTACAAGTTTCGATAAAAAAGTTAAAAAAGATCAATCAATTTTGCTTTTTA